TATATATATATATATATATATATACAATTTACTCAAACTATATATATTACTCAATAACAATAGTAGAATTTGGTATCAACAAATCATACTTTTTATTTTTTTCATTAATAAATGTCAATGGATGTTGTTACTTGGCAGGCAAGCTTCTTGGATCAAATTATAAATGAACTTTATGCACATCCCAAAATGGAAGGGATACTTCTTTGGTCAGCTTGGAATCCACATGGATGCTACCAGATGTGTTTAACAGACAATAATTTTAAGAATTTGGCAACAGGAGATGTTGTGGACAATTTTATTAGTTACTTGACTCACAATGCAGATTCACCGGGAAGTACAGATTCCAACGGAATTTACGAAAAATCGTTGTTTCATGGCGAATATGAAGTCACAGTTCAGCATCCCAATGGAGTTTCTAGCTCACGACAAATTGATGTCGTGCCGAGAGACGAAGCACAAGGACTGCATGTACTTTCGATTCAAATATAAAGCAGAACTTCATAATTTATAATGTTTTTCTTCTAATTTAATGCGTAAGAGTGACTTGGCCAACTTCAATCTTATAATAATTTGTTCTCCTTATCATGTTGTACTCACTTGTATACACTTTCACCAGTAATTTTTTCTTAAGAAAACAAATGTTTTAAAATAATTACTTTTTTAAATGTGTCTTTTAATTTACTATATTTTCATTTGCATTTCTATATTTTTCATGGTAGGTTTTTTAGCAGCTTGGTTTCTCCTAATTTGATTTCTGTGATACTCTAACATCTGCTTACTGATTCTTGATCTAACCGGACCATGTTGCGCGCGTCGATATATTCATTGTAGTTCACAAATTATAGTGAACATGACAAAAAGGTAGTATCAAATGGAGCACAAATATAAAAGCAAAGCAGTTTTATGTTCTCCCCTGAGTTCTTTAAGTTATTCAGTTACGAGTGCATGCATATATTGTGTCATTTTAACTTTGTCATTTAGATGGCAGTAAATTTCAGAAAGTGTCGTCGCAAAAACTCAACTCCTATGAAAAAAATAAAAGTAAGATGTGCACAAACATTTGTCTTGTTAATCCCTGTAACATTCACAAACATTTGTCTTCAGAGTTCGGAACTATTTTAGGACACAAGTATATCCTAAAAGATGGTCACAGAGTGGTAAAGAATGGGATTATATTTTGTCTATCAAGATTCAAGATAAAGGTGTTGTTCTTTGCCTGAGCAAGAGAACAAACTGGAATGGCGGATACGTCCCTGGAAACATCACCGGGTACCTCTGCTTACTGTTGCTTGAATAAGCTCATTTCTCAATTTCAAGGCCTTAGACGAGATACTTAATTGTATGGTTAATCGAGGAATCTGTTGTCAAGAACTGAGATGAATTGGCCATACCACCCGTTCGTGTGGGTTGATATGGTGTACTATTGTCTATGTTCAAATCACGGGAATGTAAAAAAGGCCACACATTTACAATCTGTTTCGTCACTTTTGTCTCGAACTGGGTTGAATTGCCTACGCCTTGAACTTCTTTTCTCTTTGAGCTCTGGTGACCTGCAATACGTCGAGAGGGGGTGTCGGCAGAAAAACCTCTGAAGCTCAAGTCAGAGCTCGCTCAATGATTGTATACGATAATATATAATTTAAGGAGTAGAATGTGTTATGTTATGAAACAGAACCTGACACCTTTATATAGGGCAGTTTCTTGTAGCCCTAGAGAGTCCTTGTTAAGAAAGAGATATAACCAGATCACACTTCCTAACTTACCACGTCTCTATTTAGGCAAGTGTCCTTGGGCAAGTGATTCTTTCCTTAATACTAAGATTCTTTCTCCTCTTATTGTACAACCCTTAGATCCTGAGGCCGTAACCTCAACCTCCTAACATACTTGTTTTGGCTTATCCGAGGTCGAACTTGACCTCATCTTAAGATATAACCTGACCTCAGGTCGTATGACCTCAATAACTCGAGGACGGCTGTATTGCCGAGCACCTACAGATTGGCACCCTCAGGTTGATCATGTTGGAATCGATGAGGATCTCGTTATACAAGTCATGAATTCAAACAACAACAATAAACCTACGCGCAATGATTCTAAAGGTATAATGTTGACAACTTACGGCTTGAAATTGCAGACTGAGACGCTATAGATTTTCGATGTTGGAGATCGTTTGTACTCAGAATCCGTTGGGCGGCCGAAATACTTCTCGTCAGACATCGAGAAGCATGTCGGGAGCATCGCCGGGGTGCAGCGGGTTGAGAACGTCAGTGGGAGCGAACTGCAGCATGGACGGGTCACGGTCGCAGTGATAGTCGAGAACGCAGGATCGTCGCGGGCTGCTGTTACGTGCGTCACAGCTGGCTACGGTGGATTGCAGGGAACGCGGGATCATCGCGGCTGGTTGCGGGCTGTGTGTGGTGTTTATTGTGTTTTTGTCTTATTTTCGTATTTTTATATGTTTTAATTTAGTGTTTTTAGGTTCTTTTTAGTGTTGTTTTGTCCATTTTATCGTATTTTATGTATTTTTTATTCTCTTCACGTGTTCTTGTGTTTTTCCGTATTTTCTTCTCTTTTTGGTGTTGTTTAGGTCCATATTGAGAAGCTTGGGACAACAAGCCATTTTCAAGCCACTCGAGACATTAACCGAACCATTTCGAGCTGTCCTTTTTGAGTCAAAACCCGCGAGCCTGCCAGGCCGAATTCGCGACCCCGAGGCATTTTCGCGACGCCGCGCGCGCCAAGCTTCAGTTCGCGACACCAGGCCATTTTTGCGACGGTGTGCGTGCCCCTACCAGACGCCAAGGCCTCATTCCGCTACCTCAAGGTCGTTTCGCGACGTTGCGCGAGCCTATGCCCATGCCAAATCCACGATTTGCGACCCGAACCTCATTTCACAACATTGCGCGTGCATGTTCCCATGCCAAATCCACAATTCGCGACCCCAACCTCATTTCGCAATGTTGCGCATTTGGTTTATCAAACGTGTGTGTTTTTAGTACGTGTTTGTGATGTAGTTGTAATAGACATTGTGCTTTGTATTTTGGAAAATTCTTTCTATTTTCTCTCTATTATTTTATTTTTGTTCTTTATTTTGGAGGTCCATGACTCTACTTTCCCGATGAAATTTCGGTAATTTTATTTTTATCTAAGTTCCGAGCTTTATTCACTATTTTCGTCTGTGGATGCGATAGGAGAGTAGGTACCTTTCTTAGGCCTTACTACTTCAAGTTTGTCTTTCGAATTATGTGTTTATGCTCGTTTCTAGGCTTTCCTTTATTTTCTTGCTTGTTTAGGTGTGTTAGGAATTCAATACGTGCTTATCTTGTGTAAAGGTCTTGACTTTGTGCAAAGCGAGATGATTTAGTTAAGAAGGCTCGTGTTAGATTATCAAAGATCACTTAGTTAGCATATTTTTGATGAAGAATATATATGTTTAAAATTATTGTAAAATTATTGTTATTATTATTATTATTATTATTATTATTATTATTATTATTATTATTATTATTATTATTATTATTATTATTATTATTATTAGTTGTTTGGATATTAAGCTAGAGTTGAGTTTGAAGCCTTTATTTAAAGGGCTCTTCTGTTTTGGTAATGGGGGGGTGAATTTGATGAATGAGAATATGAATTGATTGTGTTTCTTTCGGGAGAGTATCCCAAGTTCGAGAGAGTATCTCGTATTGTATCTTTTCCCATTCGTTCACGCTTTCCCTACATCAGTTGGTATCAGCAGTCAGTACGATTCGCGATATCGTCGGGACGAGAAGATGCTGCAAACAACCAACGTGATGCCACCTTCCACGATCGGTTTCAACAGATTGACTATCGATTTCAAGAGTTGGACGTGCGTTTCACGAATTTGTTTGCCGATCTTTCGACGGGGATCGAGGATTCGCATTTGACGCTTAACAACGTGGTTGTTTCGGAATTGCAAACGAACCGCGATGGAGCTGTGGGCCGTGGCTTTCGCGGGGGAGACAGAGGCGGTTATGGGGGAAGCAACCATGTCGGGGCACCCCGGCAGTGGTCCCCACCACCTGTGAACGGCTTCGTGGACGGCTACGATTAACGCGATGACAAAGGCAGGCGCGAGGAAGCTGTCTTCGCCGACGGATATCGGGCCCGACACGATTGGGTACATGATCACGATATGGTCCATGGGAGGGCCCGTTTCGTGTGGACATTCTCGATTTGGATGGAGAACAACATGACGGACCATTGTACGACGGTCCGCCGATTTTCGATGAGGAGCCTCCGAGGCCAGAGGATTAAGTTGTAATTGTTGTTATTAATACCGTTGAATTTGATGTGATTCTTGGTGGCTGCATTGTGCAGTATAGAGAATTACATGGGCACGAGTTTGACACAATTTTGTCATATTTAAATTCGTGTTTCATACCCCATGAAGGTGGTGTTGAATTTTTTAGTTTTATGATGCCCGGGGGTGTTTGGGTTGGAAGTAAGGGTGCTATGTTGTGTGGGTCGGCTAGGGTGGACGTTGGGAGACATTTAATTTTCGTGATTGATAGGGGGAAACGTCGGGCGATGATTGGCATGGGTACGACTCCGGTGTCGGCACGTTTGGTCAGGCTTCGAGGGCGAAGCCTTCCGAACCGGGGGAGGATGATGCGGATATATTATTATTATTATTATTATTATTATTATTATTATTATTATTATTATTATTATTATTATTATTATTATTAGCTTGGTGGACAAGTTTTTGCTCTTAGGGTTGTAGTGTCTTATTTAAAGACTTTTTGTCTTTGTTATCTGGGAGTTGAATTTGAAATGAAATAAAGATATTGTTGAGTTTTACGTGTTTTACGAGAGAGTATCTCGTTTACTCGTTTATTTATCCTTCTCATTCGTACGCTTTCCCTACATCAATTTTCCTTTGTTTATTTTCATTTTCTTCAGTCGTGGAGATTCCATTCGACCAAAGTTTCGATCTTTCTTCTAAATTTTGCATATTGCGTCATTGCTTTCATTTCCTTAGCGTAATTTAGTTCAAATAAATACCCATCAAGCGAGTAGAATGTGTAGGACCCTATTTTCGGTTATGTGATTTTGACGACTAGGTAGTGAACGAAGCTCCGAACAACCTTCCTTCGAGACGACTCGAGTTCGGGTAGTTCGGTTACCACATACCCACAAAATACTACAAACATGCGGTGATCGAGGCTCGCGTGCGGCGGTCGATCTCTAGGTCTCGGTACCTCGAGATCTTCTACTGTATTACCTGCGCCTCTTCGTATGTCTCGGTGGATCAACAAAACGAAGATAAAGCTTGACTTGGGAACTAGGAAGAGGGGCGGCCGAACATGTATTTGCGTGAGGCTATGTGTGTCTCTCTCAATCATATAAGCTTAATGGTGTATTTGTAGAGCTACAGTAAGGATTATAAGGAGGTGATGTTTTGGGCTCCTTAAGTACTATAAACCAAGCCCATGCTGCTCAAGTGGGGAATTGCTCAATTTCCAAATCCCTGGATTAATTAAATAATGTTTCGGTCCAATTAACAAAATATTATTATACTACCTTATCATTCCGAAATTATATTCGAGACTCCAATACTCGAATTACCTCCCCACGTTCAAGATATAATGTTCATCAATTAATTTGATTACTCATAATCAATAATTAACTGATATTTTGTAAACCGAAGCTAGTACCACTCATCAATTATTATTCTGTCGGAACTTAATCCACCTACAGAATTTAACATAATAATCATGAATGAGCTCACTTTGTGGAAATCATCAAACTAACATACATGGTGACTGAACCTAAAATATTGAGATTATTGATCCAGCAGAATGAATCTCACTTTTGGTGAATCAAAGTAACAACTACTTCATGGACATGCTTGTTTATATTTTACGGGTTTAAGAGAACGCAATAATTAACCGAGGGCTACTTCGTTTATGACGATCAGTATAAAACGAACTACTCCTCTCTGGGATCATGTTCAATGCATAAATGTATTAGAACAACTAATCAGTCAAGATCAACTCTACGTTGAGACTAAACCGTTCTAATTGTTTGCTCATTTCCATCTATGTTGTGGACCAATCATTCTTGTTTCGCAAGTAGCTGATAAAACTTTCCACCCGCTAATGAACCAATTATCTAAATACAAAACAACAGAACATAGAACTTGTTTAATTAAAAACGATTCTCGTTCAACATAAATTAAGTGTAAATATCATCCAGAGCTAAGTTTCAGAATATACACCCACAGGCCAGTACCAACTTAAGCCCGCATACGAGCTACTTGACTGGATAATATCTCTAAACATAATAGAACTCTCTTAGACTGGCCTAATCGAGCTATCTGCTCAAGTCAGTCTACCGAGCTATTCCAAGTGCTACATCATCTAGGTTCCCTTTTCATGACGAGCTGACCAGACTTAAGATGAAATGGTCACTTTCATTGAATCTTAGCATCTTCTCTTCTTTTATTTCCATTGCATTGTTAAATAACCTGGGAGAGCATTAGACGCCAAAAAGAGACTCCGTACATGATCATATCCCAGTCTTTCGACACGTCATAAGTCAACGTGTACATGTCTTATCATATTCAGTTCCTAAACCTGAGCCCTTAATATACGTACCTTCTAACGATGAAAATGGCTTTCCCTTCTGCGGCTTATAAGAACCATTCTAAGTTGTATTTTCTCCTTTTCTTCGCTTACACTCTTGACTTCTACAACAATATTTTTTCCTCTTTCTTTCATCTCAACTTTGAGTTTCCAGACTCGTCCCCACAAATATCCAGACTTAATTATGTGACCTCGACGATCTTTCGGGCATTTCTTCACTATGTCATCGAACTCTTCAACCTCTTCTTCTCAAAATCTGCTACCAAAAAAAAGACTTTCCAATTCTCCAAGCCGCCCCTCTTGCCACTACTTTGTTAGATCCATGCCGACCTTCCGAGATGACCGTCTCTGACGGAGCTCGGACCCATCCTTTCTCCTAATTTAATTCAGGTTGCAAGACTTATTCCCCTATAAATCTCGTCGGGCCTAGAATATTTCTTCTGTATTTGTTTGTTCCTATTAGTTGTACTTATGCTCCTCGCTTAAAGCAAGCAAATTTTGTCTCTTTGTGGCTCGTCTTCTGTATTTGTTTGTTCCCATTGATTGTACTTGTGTTCCTCGCTTAGAGCAAATATGTCTCTTTGTGGCTTGTAAGGTTGAACTCTTTTCATCCTCTCTTTATGTGGCTTGTAAGGTTGAACTCTTTTCATCCTCTCTTTATGTGGCTTGTAAGGTTGAACTCTTTTTAGTGATGTGGGTCGTCTTTGTTAGATTTCTCAGATGCTCTGTAATCATTCGATTACCCGTTGTACTTGTACTTTTGGTTCGAGTTATAAATTCTTTTGTTTGCCTTGGAAAAGAAAAAATATGCAATTTATTTTTTGGCAAGATAAGAAAATGATAGAAAAATTGTTAATAAACAATTTTAATTTCCTGAATCCTGATACCATCTCTCCAGCTATTTTCAACCTGGAGCAAATAAGCATTAGTTCTAAGAAAATGTAGCAGCAAAACAACTGAGAAAAATATAAATAATGGTAACAATCCCTGAAGGCAACAGCAATGTACAGGCTAAACAAAAATTTAACAAACATTGCATTACATAGAGCAGCTTGTAAAAGAAATACAACCTGGTCCAAACTAGACACATTGCTCTAACTGGGTTAATCCACCTACTGGCCTCCATCAAGCATGAAACATCACCTGCATATTCAACCAATATTAAGATCAATCAAGTAAAACTCGATCTCGCTCTTTCAAGGCAATTAACGGTTAATTGCATACTCGCCCATTGTAACATCAGATGGTTAGCCACAAAAACGACCTGAAACGTCTACCCTGGTTGCCAAATGAAATTGAAATTTTGAAACATAAAAATGCCGACTTGTAATTAAGCTAAACAATCGAGGACAAGTAACAGCTAGCAACCATCCATACATTTATACAAATTGAAGTCATTCATGGGCATTTCTCCAATTTTCTTCTTGCAAAATTGCACGATAGAATTCCAATGAGCATCCAAACATACAGATGAACATTATATTATAGCTAACACAGACTTCCCCTGGCAAAACAATGACGAGGTTTGGGGTGATTAACCAAAAAGAAAAGACCCTGATAAGTTAAAAATCACAAAAAACACACACACACACATACACAAACAAACAAACCATACACTGGCTTCTTACTTATATTTATGAAATATGAGATGGAATTAAATATCAATGGGGGTTTTGTGCAACTTTTGGAACTTCTCTTGGTCTCTTCCATGACTATCCCAAATTTCAGGTGTAGAATTAAAATTATCCATACCTAAAAAGTGATGAAGAAAAAAGGGGGAACAATTATAAATAGAACTTACCATCTCACGGGTGTTTCCGCCCACCTCTCATTGTCCTCAACGCGGCCTGCACATAAGCCTCAGCTGCCTCAGCCTCAGCTTCGGCTGCCTCAGCCTCACGAAGCGCCTCCTCAGCCGCCGCCATCGCCTCTTCGGCTTTGGCCACGGCCCGGGCGGCAGCGGCGGCAGCCTCAGCTGGGGTGAGACCAGACAGATCCAAGTCCTCATCCATGTCCTCATTCAANAAAGTGAAATTCTCAGGAGGGCCGACTCTGGCGGAGATCCTACGCCTCCTAGCCTCCAGGTTCGAATTGGACGGTATTCGTCTCGGAAGGGATGGTGCTGCCAGAGGGGCTATTTTGAACCTGCGTTTTATCTGCATTGGGGACAAACACACGGGCTCAGTTGTTGTTTATTGAATAATAGAGATACATTAGAATATAAGAATATAGAACCGACGAATTTTCAAGTGTGCAGTGTGAAAGGGTGGTGGTGGTGTTGGTGTGGTGGGGTGTGTGTGTGTGGGTGTAAGATCAAAATGTGTTTGTATGTTGTGTTTTGTTGCGCTGTGTGAGTGTCAGAGAGAGTAGAGTGTCTGTCTGTGTGTGATTGAAATGTATGCATACAAAGGAAACCAATATCAATCAATCAACAAGCCACTAAAATCCCAATAAGTGGGGTCGGCTATATGGATCACATGTCGCCATCAAAGCACATATCCTCATTCAAATTTAAATATTTAAAATCATTTTTTATTGCCATTCCAAGTTTTCTTCGGTCTGCCCCTCCCCCTTTTAATTTGCGTCCTTAATTATAATGTTTATACCCTTGTGCCTCGAAGTCTCTCCCACGCACGTGACCAAACCATCTTAATCATGATTCTCTCATTTTCTCCTCTATAGGTGTTATCCCAACTTTAATTCTAATACTTCCATTTTGAATCTTATCTAACTTAGTATGCCCACACATTCATCTCAACATTCTCATCTCTGCCACACACATTTTTTAATCATTTTCATATTAAGCAGCCCAACACTCGGATCGATAAAGCATCGTCAATCGAATGGCAGTTTGGTAGAACTTGCCTTTCGGTACTCTACGATCACAAAGCATCGACGACGCGCTCCTCCACTTGTTCCAACCCGATTGAAATATATGTATTACATCCTTATCTATGTTGTCATAGAATGAATCCTAAATATTTAAAACTTTATATGTGTTCAATTCGTGTTCCCCAGTTTTAACCTTTACGCATTATTACTCATTTTATTACTAAAATTATTATCCATATATTCCGTTTTGGCCCTACTAATTTTGAAATCCTTTGTTTCAAGTGCATCTCTCCAAGTTCTAACTTAGAGTTTACCTCCTCTCTCGTCTCATCTAAACACTATGCCATCCGCAAACAACATGCAATCGGTAACGTGCAATACCAAATGCTTCGTATATTCATCAATTACTAATGCAAAGAAATACGGACTCAACGTCAAACCTACCTTGTAGATAGGAAATTCACATTATTACACATCTTTTATGATTTTTATGTAACCAACTCGCACCCCCTCTTTTCTAACACTCCATATTATACCTCTATTAACACTATCATAAGCTTTTTCAAGGTCATAAAGACCATATGCAAATTTTGTTTTTTCTCATTAAAATGTTCACAAAGTCTCCACTGTTGATTTTCCAGGCATAGAGCCAAATTGGTTTCCATTATGTTTGTTTCTTGTCTAAGTCTAGTTTCTATTACTCTCTCCCATAACTTTGACACGTTAGTTTTATGCCCCTGTAGTTTGCACAATTTTGTATATCTCCTTCATTTTTAAACAAATGTATTAATGTACTTTTCCTCCATTGGTTGGACATTTTCTTATCTTCATGATGGATGAAATTTTAGGCGAGTAGATTTTTGTCTTGGATTTCACAATTGGTTAAATTCCTCCACATAAAATATCTCATCAAATTCTTTAATCCAAACACTAGCTTTCAAGCAATTTAAGTTGTTACTAGTAAAATTAGTGAAATGCAAAACGTAAATAATATATGTGTGTAGCAATTGAAATGCAAGAATTACCTTGATAAGTTTTCCCATTGAGCACAACTGCTTCAGTTTCCCAGACAATATTTTCGTAAAGTTTGGGGGCGCCCAATATTGATCCTATGAAAAAGAAATTTACTGAGATTAAGATATTAGAAGATAATAGCTAATAATGAACTCATCCATTAGATAAAATGCACGTCATTAAATTTGTTCAGTTTCTCAAGTTACGATTCCTCGTCTCAGATAGTTTATGGATTGTCCCGCAATGCATCCCGTATCTCCATTGTTTGACGGAAATGCACTTAAATAACCAAATAGTAGAAGCTTCAGAAAAATATTCATAAAGCCAAGAATTGGTTATCTAAAGATGAATCAAACTTATGACATAATAATTTATAACTATTTTGATGTCCAAAGTGCATTTTGCTGGATTTTCCCAAACATCTAGTAAAAGAAAGTACATCTCCTCAAGTTTGCTGCCAAATTATTTATCTCAAAGAATTATTGCAGCCTATCACTCTCCAAGAACAAACTACCAATCTAAAAAAAAACATGTTCAAACAATTTTTCTCTTGTAATTTTAAGAGAACTACAGTACAAAACCCCACAAAATTGATCTTCCCATTGGATCCTCCAGTTTATCCCTATTGTTGGATGCCGAATAGCTTCTTCGGCCATTCTTTTTATTGCTAATTTTTAAAACTGGCAGCTGGTTCGACATGTAGAATCTGTGTGTTTGAGGAATTTGGCAAGTTATGAATAAAATAGCACATTTTTTATGCTAAAGCAAGAGGGATCACTTCATAGAGCCATTTTAGAAGCCTTTCTTCATTTTTTGATGCTGGCCTAAGAAATTTTAGAGCATGTTTGTTTATAAGAATTTAAAAAGAAAAAATCCAACATATTAACTCTACCACTTTTTTTAACTAAACTTCCACTATCATCAATATTATTAATATAATTAAATAATATCAATCCATTATTCGTACACACCACATCAACCTTAATTCATCACTCATCCACTTACATTATTTTAACTAACTATCACTTCAAATCATCTCTCTCCTACTTTACATCAAATCAATTTTAATTATCTTATTTTAACTATTATTTTAATATACCCACTAACAACTAACCATCCATCTTTTTCAAAATTAACCGAACCAAACTAAAAAATCCAAACAAAATCAAAAATTTTCATAAACATACATGCTCTGTGGAGCTTAGACAGGTTTTGCGCTTACGCTATATGCAGCATTTACATACCTTGATCGGGAAAAGAAACTCCTTCCTAAGTAAACTCCTACAAGATCGTAGATTACAAAAAAGGTTTTGCTTATGGGGAAGTCACCTTCTCCAGAACAAAAAAAAAAA